GTATATAATTAAGAAATTTGCCTAGGTTTTTATGGTCATACAAAAGTTAAATCAAAGTATTTTATCTGTAAGGTTAATATTTCTATCTTTACCCTTTTATCTTTACTTTCACATGCCCTTACACTAGTGATTTACAAAACCTTTCGACAATGAGTTCCATGGAGGCATCGAAATTTCAAGTCATTGCCAAGTGAAATGAGGTTTTAAATAAATTTCTATTTAAATTTCTTGAAAGTAGATAAATTACCTTCTTAAAGATGCTAATTAATTTGCTGTGCAATGTGCGAATTGGTTGGTTGGTAAAATCTCCTATTGGTTGTTGAGGAGACGTAGAATCAAATCCTGCCTACACTTAGGTCCTCCAGTGCAGCCCCTTAGAGCAAATAATAATAATAATAATAATAATAATAATAATAATAATAATAATTTGTTATTCTCTACTTTTTCACCCAAAAAAGCAAGAATCCATTTAGGATGTTCTGAGCTCCATAATGACTAAAGCTGAATTAATAAATCATTCAAGTCGGCCTCTTAGTCGTTACCAAACAACTGTAAATCTTCTAGAGAATTCTCCCAGGGCTAAGGTATTAGGAGACACTTTGTTATTCAAATAACTTCATACTTGTTTTTGTTAGGAGTGCTCACAGTTCCACTGATCGACCATTAACTAAAATCAAACCCAAGCCGATTAACTGGTTGATTGGTTTGATTAACCACTAATTTGGTTCATTAGTTTTTTGGTTATTTTATTTTATAATATATATTAGAAATAAATATATAATAAAAAAATTAGAAATACATATAAAAATACTATATTATAAATAATAAATAATATTATATATATATATATATATTTGCATATATAATACATATATTTATTTATAATATATATAATATACCAATTGGTTCAGTTAACCACCAATTTTTTATATTGGTTAATTGAAACTCAACTGATCAATTCGATTAATCGGAATTTTCGATTTGATCTCATTGGTTCAGTTCAATTTTTGTTGATCACCTCTGATTTTTGTGTATCATCTATTCACCACACAAGCAACTTATGTATGCTAGTTGTCTGTGGTTGTTGGCAATCAGTAGTTTCAAAACCAGCAAAGTGGCCTTTTTTTGTCGTGATATCTGAACATTGCATCTAACATTCAAGAATTCTTGAATGGTTGAAAAAATTAATCATACAAATATTCAATCAATGCTTAATTACGCATCATGGTTCGTTTATACAACATCCTCTTTTGCATGATATGGGATTTCCTGAAAACAAAAACTGTGATGCAAAGTGAAATATTATGAGAGTATACAACATCTAGCCACACATTGGTAATATCTCTCCATGAATTTAATATATATGCACAAGAGATATTCCTGAAATAAGGATGGATGTATTTTTACATTTCCGGGGCTCCTTTTGCACTTATTGTTAAAATAACAGGAACATTTTCAAAAGTTATTGGCATGGCACTTATGGTTATGGCCATACCACCCGTTTTTTAATACCCTGAACCGAACACTACCTAAACGGTTGAAACTCACTATTTTCAAAATATTATTGTCACGTAAATAAGTATTTATTTATTTTTTTTGTTTTTATTTTCTATTTGAACCTCTCAAATATATACACCTCAGTTAATGGAATTTACTTCAACTTTTACCATTTGTATTTGTGGGTTCAACCGTTAAAGCATAACAAGAACATAGCAAAGGTGAAAAAGAGAACAAACCCTATTCTCAAACAAATCAAGTTGTCATTTTGTTAAAGAAACAAATCAAGCTGTTGCGGTTGGAAGCTTGCGGATGACTTACAAATGTACTAGCTGTACCCGATCCATGTGTGAAGTGATGGGATTTGTTTATTTTATTCAAAATCAAATCTCTCTCTCTCCTTCCTTGGTTAAAACTTAAAACCTTTTTTTTTTCGATAAATAAAACTTTTAAGCCACGAATTCATGTGATAACAATGCAACAGAGTACTACAAACAAGAAACGTTATATCCTGAAAACGAGTGTCTGGTAAGCAGTTCGCATCCTCTTCAATCACAAGGCACCTCTTAAGCTCAGTTTGGAAAGAATACAAAGCAAATATATACGAAATAAATACATATAAAATAATACAAAATATAAGATTTTGTATTCTATATATTTGTGTTTGTACTCTTTTCAAACTCAGTTTTAGGAATCAACTAACATGGTGTTTAGAAGCATGAACGTTTTTTGGAACCAACCAACATAGTGTAGGCAGTGAGCAATACTATACTGTTTGGTAAGGTTGTTTGATTCCTAAAACATTGCTTAATTACCAGGATTGTTTGGTGCAATAAAAAACTGCACCAAACAATGGAGAAATAAGAAATATTGGTTGCTTGGTGCAATAAAATATACCAAACAATGCTTAATTACAAACAGGATTGTGAATTTGTGATTGGAAATATCTTAATATATTGTTATTTAATCCCAAGAAGCTAGTCAATATCAAGTGATTAAAAAAACTGCAATCACAGTGATTTAGGTCACACTGTATGGTGGTTAGGAGAGAGTTTTTGAGGGGTTTCTGCTGTTTGATTTGAGGGTTTGTTTTGTTTTGTTTGGATGTGTTCTTAACTTTTATGACACTGCTGGTTGCAAATAGTACCTGTTATTGATTCCTTCTTGCTTATTTTTATTCTCTCATGATCATGGATAAGACTTAAAGGTAGCTTGGGCTGGCTTCACAGCCTTCACTTCCCATGTCCCTCCTCCACCCTTGCAGCAGTGACGTCTCTCCCAACTTTCCCTTCTTTTCTTTTCTCACGCAGCAGCCCCGTCTTTTGACGGATTCCCATCGTATACCCTAACCCTAAAACCCTACCCTCTTTGCTTCCTCCAAACCCTAAACCCATTTTTCTACTTCTTTTTCTCCTTTTCACTGTGAGTGAGATGTGATTTTGGGGGTATTTTTGTCTTTTAATAAACTTTACTTTAATCATTCCATCCCACCCGCACCCAGTCTTCTGTATTCAAAATTTTGGACGTGCCCAAATCAAATCCCTGCATACTTAATTTTGATTAAGAGAGAGTTTTCTGGACGGGTTTTCTTCTTTCCTCTGGACGAGCTATAAGTTATTCTTCTCTTCTCTTGGTCAATGTGGTCATGTGGATGGAGCATGAAGAGTGCAGCCGGCATCCAATCAAAATTCTAAACCGCCCGTCAAAAATGTTATCCTTCCGTAAAATGCGATGTCAGCTTTCGTACCATGACGTGGCAGAAAAGCTGTTTACTGCCACGACTGATTTTTCGGTCATGCAGTGCAGATATTTCATCTTTTACACTAGGCAACTCTTAAATTTATCTATTTATAGTATTAAGGGAAAATCTTTGATGCCGAAAACACATGATACCCCGAAAAGATTTCGCCAATCAAAACCACCCGTCTCCCCCGGTGAATTTTGATCGATGACATCTGATTGATGATTACTCTTATGATACCGGTTGATTGGTTTTAAGTTTTTTTTTCGGTATCATGTGTCTCCCCTGCCATAGTTGAACCCGTTGGGATTCTGAGAGCTCTGAACGCGTTCAGAAATGGTCAAATTATTTGCCCGAATTGGATAGATCGAACAAATATAATATTTACTAGGCCAATAAGGATACACCATTATCAGCTAAAAAAGGAGAATCGTGGCCTTAGATGTATTGCTACGGCCCCACCAAGACGTCACATCATCTACTTCAAGGTGGGGCCAATGGCAAAACAGTCTTTGATTTCCTTCGTCAATGTCGTAGCAAAAAGAGGTTTAGGTTGACGTGGCGCATTTGGGTTCTCGCCGGTGCCGATTTGCCGTCAAATAGTAAACACCTCCGGTTGTAGAGAAAAGTTGTCTATTGATGGACCTATCTCTCTACAACTCTACCTTATTCTTCTTCCTGCTATTACAGAATTATTATTTTAATTAGGACGTTGGATCCAACCATGTGGGCATGTTTAATTTCATTTCATATATATTCTTGCAAGCAAAAAGTACTGGTGGGTCTCTAAACTGTTTGTGGTAGCGTCCAATCAATGGCTCAGATTTCACAAGAAGGAAAAAGATTTGTGAGATCGAGTTGGTTGGTGACAAGTAATCGGAGGAGGATGGGTTTACAATTTACATAGGACAACGTTGATTGGAAACGTGGACGGACGGGTTTTCGGGTCCAAAGAGAACAGTTAATACAGTGGTGTGAGAGAGAGAGTATGAATGATGGTGGTGCAAGGAAGGTTGAAATTTCTTTCTTTCACAGGACAAGAGGAAATAGTATGGCAGTAGCAATTTGTGTGGTATTCAGTTCACCAAAGTAGTTCAAAAGTTCTCATTTTGTCTGAAAGTTGACAGCTGCTTTGACATAAATCGACGAAGAAGAGAACGAGTGACAGACAATGAAGGAAAAAAATTTACCCACACGTTACGAGTTAATATTGAATCCTTGTTTATTATTCTAATTAAAGAATAGACTAGTCTATAAGATAAAGATATTACGTCAAATAAAGGTAGCATGAGTACGTTACTGTGTAGAAGCTGGTGGTGAGATTCCTCGGCCTCGTATTGGGCAGGCAGAGCCAAGGACACTCCTCTCTCTCTCTCTCTAAAGCCCAACCGATTCATCCACAGAGCCATCGTGACTATGACAGAGAGAGGAGGAGGAGGAAGACTGGAAGAGAAGATAAGGTTAGAGAGAGAGAGAGCAAAAAAAAAGGAGGGAGAGAGAGCAGCCGGGAGGGAGCTCGTTGGAGGTGCATAGAATAGAATAGGGTTAGCAGAGCAGGGATAAAGAGGGAGAGACATTCGGACTGTCCAACTAAGGAACTTGGCCAGCTTTTCTGTAGCTTCTCTTTACTTTTCCCACAGTGAATAATTACAGATTAGATGGGGTGAGATTAATAATAGGGGAGAGAAAGAGAGAGAGCGTGTGTGTGCGAGCAGGAGAAGATGAAAGGAAAAGAAATAGAGAGAGAGAGAGGTAAATGAGGGGGAACACGACAATCCATGAGCGAATATTAAATGAGTGGCCGGATTTCCGTCAACAGCACCGTGCCCCAAAAATCTTTCACTCCATCTCCGCTGGTACTATTGGCTATCCTCGATTTGATCGTTTCTTTCTACATGTCTCTCTCTTTCCATCTCTTGTCTCTAGTTTCGCTTTAGGTCTAGCCTGTAAATTTGCAGTTGGATCAGTGGCAGTGCAAGAAACGAGGGGGGGAGGGTTTTCATCTCGGGAAGGAAAAGCTTTCCTGCAGAGAGGCCCAAGGATAACATCGGGCGCCCGTTCTTATTTCTTGCACCATATGTAAAACCTCGCGTGCTCTCTGTGTTGTTACTACTTGCTACTAGTCTCTCTCTCTCTTCTCTTCTCACAGTTCTCGCTCACTATTTTCTCTCTCTTCAGCCTTCTCTCACTGTTCTCGTCCCAGAGAGAGAAAGAGAAATAAAGGAGGGACTGAACTAATGCTGTTAATGTACAGGAAACAAAAAACATCCATTTTCTAAAGGAAGTCTGAAAACTGAATCTGCTTTACAGACCAGCAAAGAAGAAAATCCCCCCAAACTGACTACTACTACATAGGATTTTCTGTAAAAAGGCTGAAAGCGGTAGCATGAAAACCGGGAGAGTTCTGGAGAGATAACAACCAAAAGAGAAAGGAAGCAAATATGAGTGGGAGTCAGATAGAGATGTTGTAGTTATGGTTATTTAACAAGGCAAAGCAATCAATATATATCTAGTACAAGGCACTGAGAGAGAGAAAGAATGGAGGGTAGTCCTGCTAGAAATTCTTGTTTGATGGGTTTTGGAGATAACAGTAATGGACTTTCTTCCTTGATGATGATGCCTCTCATGACTTCTCCTCCTAATGCAGAAACGAATAGTCTTTTTCTTCCTCTACCTTCCAGCAACAATCATAACAGCAGCAGTGGCTCCTCTCTGATTCTCGACGACGGCAGCAACAATAATAACAACAACAACAACAGCAATCCTGGGTGTTATTTCATGGAGAACAACAGCAGCAGCAGCAGAAACAGCAACAATGACAACAGTAGTAGTAGCTCTATCAGGGCTAGGATCCTGGCGCATCCTCAATATCCTCGTCTCCTTTCGGCCTACGTCAATTGTCAAAAGGTGAACGATGATTAGCAATATATATATATATATATATATATATATATATATATATATAACCAGAACAAACTTACTCAAGGCAAATATAATACTGAAGATTGACTGGGATCTCATATCTATCTTCTTTCAATCGTAAGGTTTTGATTCCAGTAAACAAAAGATTAACCTTAGAGGAGCTAAGAACCCATTAACGGAACAAAAGCTAAGAACCCATTAATCCTTGTCATGTTTATTTCTTTTTCTTATCGTCTGATCTTTCTACAAGATAAAACAAACCGAACAGGTCGGAGCACCTCCTGAAGTGGTGGCGAAGTTGGAGGAAGCATGCGCGTCCGAGGAGGCCATGGGCCGCACCGGAAGGGGTTGCATCGGCGAGGACCCAGCGCTGGATCAGTTCATGGAGGCCTACTGCGAGATGCTCACCAAGTACGAGCAAGAGCTCACGAAACCCTTTAAAGAAGCTATGATGTTCCTCTCGAGGATCGAGTGCCAGTTCAAAGCCCTCACTGTTTCTTCTGTAGATTCTGGTGACGCCCTTTCTCCTTCCTCCATTATATTATTTAACTATTCTTTTGTTTTGATCACTGAAATTGTTTCTTAAATATTAGTACAACAACGTCCTACAGCAAGCCATGCCCATGCATGTTGGCCTATGCATTGGCCAACTGACAAAGAAATATAGGTTGTTTCTCTTTGCGTGATTATTATTTTTCAAGCATATTTGTTCAATGAAAAACCAGAGATTCATACATTTCTTTCCTCATTACATTCATATAGACGGGATTATAGATGTGGGTAGGCAAGTACCGGTTATTTTGATTCTCTTCTCGTTTTCTGAGATCTGAGGTCGGTCTTTTCTTGCTTTGTTTCATATAACAATTTTCAGGCGCAGCATCTTTATCATCTGACATGTTTCTGCAGTTGATAGGATGGGAAATGGCTGGTTGTGAATACTTTTGAAGGTTTGGTTTGTGTTTCTTTATATCTGAATCAGGTGAAACGTATTCTTTCCTTAATCCTTTCTATTTAACGATTGTAAACTATGAAGTCTGGAGAAATGAGTGATGCAAAAGCACTCAAACACACAGCGAGGGAGTACTTCTCTGGAAGATCTGGGTGCCAGTCTGGAATGCTATTTTTTATTTTTTGGGTAAATCCTAGAATATGCGACCCTGAGTGCAAGTTTGGTTTAATTTCATATCCTTTCGAGATAAATATATGTTGCATCACAGCAACTTACTACAGTCTTTATTTTTGAGTTATAATGAAAAACTACGTCCTAAATTAATCTCTGGTTAATAATAAGCTTTTTAAAGCTACCATCTATAAAATCATGAACCCATCAGTTTGTAGCCTAAAATTAATGTACTTATATTGTGTAGATGATGTAGTTCATTTAGATGGAAAATTTCTCTTTCCTACTGCTTATTTATAAAGTGAATCTCTACAAGATTTTGGTGCCAGCCCCATCCCCCCCCCCCCCAAAAAAAAAAAAAAAAAAGAAATAAAATATTATTAGTTCTTGCAATGGTTTAAAGCTTGAATGTGATCCTAATATGAATTGTTTTGCTGGACTTCTCGTTGTTTTTCACCCTTTTTTTTTGTCTTAGGTTTTCTTTCCCTTTATTTTATGATGATGATCTGTATAACCATTCGTATGTGTTGGAGAACAAGAGTAAGATGCAATATATCTTTTGCTTTTTTAAGGGCAATGAATGCTTTTTATGAATTCTGGATTGAAGCTAAGCTTGCCTATTGCTTCTGACTTGTGTATTTCCTGAGAAAATAGAAAGGAAAGAACTAAAGTCCTTGATATCCTTCTGTTGTAAAAAGATCAAAACCCTTTTCTAAGTTGAATACCCACACATTAATCAGCTGGAGCCACCCTTCCATATAAGATGTCTCTTATGCAATATAAGTGCTCATTGTTGATCATCATATAGTTGTCAATTCAACTGAAAGGACCATTACTCTTGTCCATGTTTACTTGAGACAGTAGATGCATTTTCTGTCTGTTCTTATAATGCATTATTGTACCATGCCATATGGGGATATGGGTAGAGTTGAATTGTGGTCTGAACAGATAATCTTTTGGTACTACAAGTCACTAAATTAAATGTACTCCCGTTATATTTTAGAAAAGAAAGGAACATGATGACATAAGATGGTAGAAGCTGTTGAAGGAATGTGGAATCTCAAAAAGGGTCAATTGAGGTATACTTAATGTCCAATGAATTGGCATTGCCATATTCAAGGGCATGTTCTCAGTTTTGTGCTTCAGATTTGGGAGAGAAGGAAATCTACTCCTATCTAGCTCAAGGTCTTCTACTGAATGTTGTATGGTGCAAGTGGGCTAGTTTACTCCTCAGATTTGGATGGCACTGCCTCTAGAAGTATGTTCTCTCTTGCTAAGGCATAGGAGCTGGCTGCAAGCTGCTGCAAGTGGTGGAAAACATTCATGTTGGTCTACACTATGGAGAAATTAGTTTGGTCAGAGTAGATTGCTTTTGAAGGGCTTTTAAGAGTAATCATTGTAAGATGACCACAAAGAAAAACAGTGCCTTAGAAATCCATTAAGTAATGAGGGTAGGAGAGGGAAGTTCTTAGAATTGCACACCTAGTCATCCTAATTTTGAATCTAATTAAAATTCCATCCGGATATTTTATCGGTATATTTTCAAATACAGACAAAATAATGTTCTTTTCTTTACCACCAGACTAAAACCTGCAGCTAAGCAATTTGGGCTTTCTTAAATGATGAAGATTCTGATGAAGGTGTTTCTCTACCAATTTGATGGCCTGAATAACCTGATCATATAGAAGAATCTGCACAGTGACTACAGAAGGCTTTCTTTAAAAAAAATCCAAAAATACTAATAAAAATCTGAAAAAAAAAAAGATTGACTGGAAAATGCAAGGTAACCTGACAGCAAGGAGAGAACAATCTAATAAATGTTCTTATATAAAATTCATTATAATTTAGTACAAAAAATGTAAGTGTGCATGTATATGTGAGAGAGTTTTCAATTAAATGAGATGAATTAATAATAATAAGAGAATAACAAAACGAGTACTTTTGGTTTGATACATCTTTTTTATAAATGAGAAAAGAAAATGGAGATTAGCCAAAGGATAACATGTTAATTAGGGTGGGCTTAGAAGAGGCATATCTTCCACTATGATGCCATATTAAATCTAGAGAAAGCATTTGTTGCATTGTCTTTGAACTGTGATTATAGTAGGGCATTAAGTAGAAAACAGACAAAATGGATGCAATTGTTATCCGGTTCTAATGAGATTCATGTATATTTTATATCTAACTTTCATCCTATTCCTATAAGTGATGGCATGTCGCATCTCTGTTTAGCGTTATTCCCATTGTTGATAACACATTTCCTAACAGAGACGACAAGTTTGGAGTGACACAAGAGGAGGGAGTTTGAGGCCTAAACATTTTGTTTTGCTCCTTGCTTAAGTGATGCTGTAGTTCATTCTCTAGTGTCTCATTGATTTGACCACTTGGTGTCTTAATCTTCTAGTTTTGGTTGGTGGAAGCTTTAAATGTTGATAGTGAATCTGTGTTCTCGAGTCTTGGTAATCAGACTAACTCAAGTGTTGTTATTAGAGATGTTGGTTAGTTGTTGTTGTGTCTTGTTCTATTGGATGTTTGTATTTTGTAGTTCTTTTCTTTATTAGTGAATTTTCTTTGTTTTCTACCAAAAAGAAATACTTATTGCAGTGCTTCACATTAGTTCTTAGGGTTGTGTTTATCCTTGGAAGCCTTTCATATGTTTTCACATTGTATTTACACTTGGTTAGATCAATGATTTTCATTGTCGATCATGTCTACATTCTAAGATCATTGCATCTGTTTTGTTCATCATTATTTGTCACCAGAAATTCTTTTCACAAAGGAAATCTCTTTGGAGTGCAAATGCAAAAAATGTAGTGATCTTTTATCCCAATGTGGGTATAGAGCTTAGTTATAACTGGATGTGTTTGAGATTCACCATATTGGTACAAGTGCTTGTCATTGCTGCAGTTTAGATCAGTATTAAATTTCAATAATTAGTTTAATCTTAAATGGTTTTCCTTAATTAGGAATTATCTATATAAAACTATAATTATGATAAATTATTATTAGTAAATTCTGAGTCCTTTTCGGGTCTTCAAATCAACATTGGCCAAAAGACTTTCTAGCTTAAGCTGTATAAAATGCAGCTTTGTTGAATGTGCTTATAGCAGCATAAGTGGATGGGATTTTGTAGTCTATTGGATGCATCAAACAAATTGATCTCATTGCACAAATCAGTACTTTGTCTTTGGTGTTTGACAAGACAGTTGGTACATAGGAGTTTTGAATGTATAATATTGGATATAAAGCCTTGTGGTAGTTTTGACTTTGTACTTGAAATTCTGAAAAGTTTCATGCCTTGAATTCATTATATATGGAGACTAGTACTTAAGACTTCTCTCTTTTCTAACTTTTTTTGCAACACTTTTTTCCTTTTGTCCTCTAGATGTAAGATTTTGTTTTAATTATTAAACTAAATGGACTCAATTTGTTGTTATATTTTCAGAAAGGATTTGAAAGATTCAATGGGTTAATCAGGAACTAGTTTGTACTGTCTCCATACTTTGATTGCTACCATCATCTTTTTTAGGTTTATATTCAAATGCATGCTTATGGAACCATCTTGGTTCTGGGCCCACTAATTTGCTACTAGATGCCCAAATTAATCAGTACAATCAAGAACATAGATTGTTTTTGGTCAATTACATAGTACTTGTTTCCTTTGTAGTACCAAATTTTTTAATTTATTTTTATTCTATTTTCTGGAGCTTGGGCTTTTGCCAAAGAACCCCTGCCTGTTTATAAACTTTTTTTCTATTCATGGGTGTAGAAAAGTAGGATCTATTGATTTGTGCAATGAGAAAATCTTGTCCTAACAAGTGACAATGTGGGTCAGAGTCTGAGCAAATGCTTTGTGCAAAAAAATGCCAGGGTTGGGTCTGTTTGCAGTCCAGCCTGGCACCCCTCCCCCACCCCCCACCCCCCGGTTGGGATCACCATTGGATGTTATCCGTCTCTTTTACATGAATGCAAATATCTAAAGTTTGTAAGTGAACTGCTCATGGATCTCTATTGTCAGGTTGTGGTGAGGTTGATCGCAATGGATCATCTGAGGAAGACGTTGACGCAAGAAACAACTACATAGATCCTCAAGCAGAAGACAAGGAGCTAAAAGGGCAACTTTTGCGGAAGTACAGTGGATACCTTGGCAGTCTCAAGCAGGAATTTTTGAAGAAGAAGAAGAAGGGGAAGTTGCCAAAGGAAGCCAGGCAACAATTGCTGGATTGGTGGAACAGACACTACAAATGGCCTTACCCTTCGGTATCTTTATCTTGCAGTCCTTTTTAATTACTAGTTGAAAAACAATGTATGAAAATATTAGGATCCTGAAATTTTCATAATATACATTTTTCTTTAGTTGACATATTAGCCGGCACTTTTCTACAGCTGAAACCAATCAACCTGATCTTATCTGATGTATACATTTTCTTTCTCAGCTTTTCTGAGTTGCTATTTGAACTCTCTGCAACATCCATTTAAACCATAAAAACTCACAGATGTTATAATTATGTTTCAAGATAATTTTTGTCCCAGATAATCTGGTGAACCCCAATGCTCTATACAAGGAACAAGTGGCTAATTAGAGATCCCAAACTTTCCTTGTTTGAATCTTACTGAAGAATGTACCATCTCAACGATGCTGCTGTGGTGCCTCCCCTGATCCTATCTTTTGTGTTTGAGTGATACAGACCACAGAGAGCTAGCTACTTGCAGTCTTGCACATTGACTGATTAACTTTTGTGCATATAGATTTTTCTTTTTAT